TCTTTAAACACCAACAAGATTACCATGCAATATTGGTACCAAAAGATAGAGTTTTTCATGTATAACAATTTTCTATTTACAACTTACTCAAGATACTAATTAAATTACTTAGAAATTGAGTTGAAAATTTTCTCTTACCTTAAGAGAAACCCACGGCTTGGAGAAGAAGATGAGCTGAAAATTCTTCCCCATCATAATACTCTAATATTAAATAAATCTAGCACATGTCTTAATATAGTATAATAGAATTATTTTATTCAATTCAATAGGAAATTCCATTTTTGCCATTAATGAATCTCCATAATCACCATAAAACCAAGCCATCTGATTATTATCATATTACAAAGTCAAACATAAATTATTTTGACTTTTAATTCTGAAATTCCTCTTGAATTTTCAAAAATTACGTTTTAGTCACTAAATTCCACTGTTTCGGTTAAATCTGGAACATTACACAATTCCAAACCAAATTTCTCTGATCCAAAATATTAAAATAATATTTCCAACCATTTTATAACATCCTTCAAATTTTTGTAAAATTCCAATTCGATCTGAAATACCGATTTCCTTACCGGCTTTAACCCTTTCTACTTTTTCTTTACTAAAATTCCAAATCCAAAAAATATGATTTCTATAACTCAACTATCAAGAGTAAACCATCTATTTATGTAATACAAATTCTTTTTAGGAAATTATCACTTAATTCCCTAAACTTTTTCCCCAAATTTCTACTTTGACCATCAAACTTTCAAAATTTGCATTTTGGTCATTGTCTAAATTTTTGGGGTATTACAATTATCCCTTCCTTAAGAAAATTTATCCTCAAATTTTAAAACTTTCTATGAAACACTAACTCCCCTTTTACGATTGCATTTTCCATTGCAAATTCGTATCCCTTAGTTAGGGTTGTACGAACTGGTAAGACGTGCCCTCGCCTTATGCGAAAACCTCTTCGGTCTTGCCAACTTCTTGAAATCCGATTTTTTTTTCTCCTCAATTTAGGAATTTTGTTAAGATCATGCTAATCATTAGATTTGGAAACTGTTTAATCCAAATCTTCAACTTGATATTAAAATATCTACACATTTACATATCATTTTTTCCCCAAGTAACATCATTGACATTATGATTTTGCTAAATCACTTTGTCTAGAGAATTTCTCTTCTTATGCAGTTCTTTAATTTATCGAGCTAAGATCCAGATTGATTATTCTTCATAAATCAAATCTATTTAAATCCCAATTTCCTCTATTGAAATGACATATAGAAGCTCTGGTCGATACTTTCCAAACATCGACACATGAAAAATAATATCTTGTACTTTGTCCAACTCTGGCTCTCAATTACCTCCATATTTAATGCTAACCCATCAGTCCAACTCTTTTTAATATCTCATAAGATCCAATAAATCTTAGACTTAATTTTCCTTTGCGTTTTGGGTGCAAAATATTTTTCTAAGGCGATACCTTAAGAAAAACTTTATCACCTTCATGGAAATTCAATCTTTTTTTTTCACTTCAAGTCTACATAAGACTTTTGCCGATCCAATGTCATCTTGAGATTATCTTTACTTCATCCTCAACCTCTTTCAATAAAAATCTAGATCAACAAAATTTTGATCTTTTAACTCGAACCCACTCAATGGTGTTCGACATTTTCTCCCATATAAAACTTCACACGGAGTTATCTTGATGCTTAATTTAATAATGTCATTGTAGAAGAATTCTACTAAAAACAAATACTTTTCTTTTTCCCATGATTCCTTAGAATCAATCAAACATGCACTCAACATATCTTCCAATATCTGAATAGTACTTTCTGACTTATCATCCGTCTATGGATGAAAAATCATACTGAATTTAAATCAAATACCCCACATTTTATGCAAATAATTCCCAAAGTCTTAAAGTAAACTTTGGATTCGTGTTAGATATAATGGATACCAAAACTTCTTGTAATCGAACTATCTTCTTGATATACCACTATGTATATTTATCCAATGCATAGACCATTCACATCGGAATGAAATGTGCTGATTTAATTAACTAGTCACTATCACCCAAATAAAATCCTTTTTATTTGATGTCAAAGGTAGTCAAGTAACAAAATCTATAGTGACTTTTTACCACTTCCACCATGGAATAGAAATCAGTTGCAACAATTACAAAAGCACTTTATGCTATGCTTTTACTTGTTGACATGTCAAACATGTAGCATCAAACTCAGTAATGTTTCTTTTCATACCTGGCCACCAAAATGACTCTTTACATCTTGATACATTTTTTTTAACTCTTATGCCATTTGCCGAAACAACATGACAAAGAAATTCAACTTCTGATAGCCAAAACTTGCACTTTGACAATTTAGCATATAACTTTTTATCCTTAAATATTTCAAGTACAATACGCAGATAATCATCATGCTCTATCTTTATCTTCGAGTATACCAGAATGTCATCAATATAGATCACCACAAATTAATCCAAGTAAAATTGAAATACTCGATTCATCAAGTCTATGAATATTGCCAGAGCATTTTTCAAACCAAACGGCATTACTACGAACTCGTAGTGTCTATACCGTGTTCTGAAAACTATCCTTGGAACATCTTCCACTTTAATATTTAACTGGTGATATCCCAATCGATTATCAATTTTTGAGAACATTGCTGCTCCTTTTTAAGCTGATCAAACAAGTCATCATTCCTCAGAATAGGATATTTGTTCTTGATAGTTACTCTGTTTAACTATCAATAATCTTCTCAATAATATATGCATAATTGCATATATCTATTTTTTTAACCAATACCGGTTTACCCCAAGGTATAAAATTCGGTCTAATGCATCCTCCATCTATAAATTCTTGCAATTAGTTCTATATTCTCTTAACTCAATTGCAACCATTCGATACAAACCCAAATATACATGATTAATGCTTTGATAACCATTAATATTGAATTCCACCTCTCAATCTGGAGGTAATCCAAATGATAAATCTAAAAAGACATATAGAAATTCCCAAGTTATGGAAATATCATATGATCTTATTTCAGATACTTAAATATCTCTCACCTTAACTAGAAAAGCTATGCATCCTTTTTACATCATCTTAATCATAACCATTGTTGATATCACTTTAGTGACGATTTCACTTTTTCATCAATCATTAATTGTTTTTTAATTTCTCCGTATTTTTCTAAATTAATCGCTTCTTGCGACCATTAGCCCATCTTTAATACAGAGACAATCCACTCATGATCAAAATGATCTTAAACTCGTTAATTGTAATATCCCAAAAATTTAGACAATGACCAAAATGAAAATTTGGAAAGTTTGGTGGTCAAAATAGAAAATTTGGAAAAAGTTTAGGGAATTAAGAGATAATTTCCTAAAAAGAATTTTATTCCATAAATAAATAGTTTACTCTTGAGAATGGAGTTTTTATATAAATCATATTTTCGGATTTGGAATTTTGGTAAAGAAAAATTAAAAGGGACAAAGCCGTTAAGAAAATCGGTATTTCAGATCGAGTTGGAATTTTACGAAAATTTGAAGGATGTTATAATATTGTTGGAAATATTATTTTAATATTTTGGATCAAAGAAATTGGGTTTGGAAATATGCAATTTTTCAGATTTAATCGAAACAGTGGAATTTAGTGACTAAAACACAAATTTTGAAATTTCAAGGTGAATTTTGGAAATAAAAGTCAAAATAATTCATGTTTGACTTTGTAATATGATAATGATCAGATGGCTTTGTTTTATGGTGATTATGGAGATTCATTAAGGGTAAAAATATAAATTCTTATGGAATGGAATAAAAAATTCCATTAGGATATTATATTAGCATGTGATAGATATAATTAATATTAGAATAACAATATTGGGGGAACATTTCAGCTTCTTCTTCCTCCAAGGGCCGACACTTTCAAGCAATAAAGGTAAGCATTTTTAGTTTGAATTTTGAAGCGATTTCTTGAGAATTTGAGTAGGTGTGGTTAGGAAAAATGTTCTACGTTCAATTCTCTACATTTTGACATGAATATTACTAGGGTTTCATGTTCAAGTTCATCTTGAGCTGATGAAGGGATTTTGATTCTTGTGTTTTATGGGTTTTGATGAGTTAAGTAATTTTAAAGAATTTGTTGTAAGAATTGATGAAGAACCTAAGAATGAAGTTAAAGAAAACAGTTTGGATTTTGAATCTGGCAGTAGGTTCAAAAATTCACCAGAAATTATATAAAAATAATTTGGAGATTAATTTTATATATTATGTTCATATATTGATCTAGTTTCGTTTAAAATAAATGGGGTTCAATTTCAAGTTGTATACAAAAAGATATGAATTTTTAACCAAGGAAAGGTCAGAAAAATCGGACAGCAGATTCTGCAAAACAGATCATGTTGATCAACTTTGAAAATTCACCATAAATTGTACAGAATGAATTAGAAGGATTTATTTATATGGATAGATTTGTATTCAAGTATAGTTTTCAATGAAAGAAACGGAATTGAATTCCATTGTGTATATCAATACAGAGTATTGATTCTTTGAAGGTAGTGCGAATTGTCTGAATATGGAAAATTGACTGGTTGTTGTATAAGTGTTGTATAATTGATATACTATGCTGGAAAATGTTGTTTTGGAATTAAAATGAGAGTTATATGTGATATATGACTGTTTTGGAAGTTTGAAAAGATTTGTGGTTTATTTACAACATTTGTAGAGTTGGGGTACTTAAAGATACTTATGCCTTTGTAAAGCATTTGAATGATAGTAATTTCAATGCTGGAATTTTTATATTAAGAATGTAAGTGATAAAATGGTGAAGGACCATTTTTTGTAAATTGGAAAAATTGATTCCAATGTTAACGGAATTATTAAGAGATAAATAATTTGATAGATAATGAGTTTCAAATATATTATGGAGTTATTATGGGATATGTTTATGTTAGTACAATACTAACATATGTATCGTTATGAATTGATGATTTATACAGATTGTGATTGATTTGTAATCGAAGCAAATCAAATATAAAAGGGCTTATGGCGGACAATAGTGAGGCTTATATATTTTGAAAGACATAAAGTGTCAAGGTGAGTGTAATACATGCATGAAATTATACATGGATGTTTTATACATCATCAGGAAGACTTGCGATAAGTCAACCTTGTTTATATCAGCATGTTATATGTCATTTTTTATAACTTTGACATGACATTGAAATGTCACGGTATGAAATCAAAATGCATTGATTATGAAAACTGTGATATTTTACCATGAATGTTTTCGAGTATGAATTGCCCAATGTTAAATATTGATAATATACTTTGCCATGGATGAATTGAATAAATAGACTATATGCCCAAGTAAGTCATTGAGGGATAGGGTATAGTTGGCATGCCATAGAGTATAGCAGTTGCAGGTTTATAATACACTTCGGTGTATATGGTGGGCACGACCTTATGTGTAATACACTTTGGTGTATATGGTGGGCACGACCTTATGTGTAATACACTTCGGTGTATATAGTGGGCACGACCTTATGTGTAATACACTTCGATGTATATGGTGGGCACGACCTTATGTATAGCACTACGGTGCAAATAGTACTCGAATACCCAGGGTCCTCAAGGTTGTATATTGGGCTATAGGCTATGGTTTATGGTTTATTGCTTAATAAATGGTAAGCATACAAATAAGCTTACGAGCTTTTGGAATAATGGCAAGTATATGGGTAAAATAAGCTTACGAGCTTATGAGATTAAATGGTAAGTATTTTGTATAAAATAAGCTTATGAGCTTATGGAATTTAAATGGTAAGTATTTTGGTAAAATAAGCTTACGAGCTTATGGGATAAATGGTAAAAGATTTTATATTATTTTGATCATGGTAAAATATTGGATATATTAGTAAAATGATTTTATGGAAATTTGATTTTTGACATTGAAAATCATGTATGAATTGTATTGCACTGTTAAATGTTTTAATTGCCTCACTAAGTTTAGACTTAGCGTGTGATGATTTTCACGCGTAGGTAAAAAGCCAATAGTGGATTAAAGAGTTCAAAGTGACATCAAGCATCGAGATGTATATTTCAATACCAGTAAGACATCCTACGATGGAATTTGATTTTTGATAGTGGCATGTAATTTGAAAATGTTCAATTTATTTGTTGAATAAATTTTGGAAATTTTTATAGTGATGAAAGGTTAATTTTTATGAATTTATATGTATTTTCGGAAGTTACTGTTGCAGTTACTGATGTTTTAAGCAAAATTTTCCAGAATGATTTGGGGGTACCGATTCCCCCCAACAGGGAACCGATTCCCCCACTGTTCATCGACACTGTTCACAGGTACTGTTCATAATAAAAAAATCTTTTGAATTAAATTTGTTATAATAAATTATAGATTATATGGAATGATATTTTTATAATATCATTTACCATTTTAAGAAAATAAATTTTAAATCGCTTTTGAATTGGAAAATGGTTTTACAAATTCGGGTAACATCTATAATCTGTATAGGTATAATTATACGGGTTATGGGTGTTACATTAATGATAATCCCATAAGATTTACCATTAACATAAGCTCATGAATCTTTATCGAACATTTACTATTTGTATGACTAATACTTGTATCATGACCGTGACCTATGGGTCTTCCGCTATAATATCACTCGATATCAAGTAGAATTGACTATTTCTACTTTAGAATTCCTTATTTCATTCTTAAGGAAATATTTATAACTTTTCCAGATCCATAGAAATTATTCTTGAACAATTTCAACATTTTCCATCTCAAATGAAAATTTCAATGTTCACATCATTCAATAAGAAAACTTGATAAATTTTTGTAGCAATAACTTCATAGCAGTTAATGTTAAAATTTTCCAGAATGATTTTGGGGTACCGATTCCCCACAACAGGGAACCGATTCCCCCAACAGGGAACCGATTCCCCCACTGTTCATAGACACTGTTCACAGGTACTTTTCATAATAAAAAAAAATCTTTCGAATTAAATTTGTTATAATAAATTATAGATTACATGGAATAATATTTTTATAATATCATTTGCCATTTTAAGAAAATAAATTTTAAATCACTTTTGAATTGGAAAATGGTTTTAAAAATTTGGATTACATCTATAATCTGTATAGGTATAATTATACGGGTTATGGGTGTTACATTTATTGGCATCAGAGCTACAGGTTTAGCCAATTCTAGGACTAAACCGAGGTTGTTTTGAATTAAAAAAGTGTATACATACCACTAGGATGTCAAAAGTTATTGATAGTTGTATATATACTGTGATGATGTTTATAGGGGGTAAAGTTACTCTTTAATAATGTATGATGATTCGGATTATGTTCATATGTTGGAATTAAAGATAAAGGTAAGAAAGTCGAAATTGTTGAAAAGAATGCCAAGATTGAAATCGATAAAAAGGGATCCGACATGACTTATGTAAAAAACACCTTAGAAGGGTGGATGTTGTTAGCGATTTTACTCTATTTAGTGGAAGAAATGCAACGATTATAAGAAAAGTCAAATTGGATGAGGATACAGAGGAGATATCTGAATCTAGTGAATGATTTTGAGGTTCTCCAGGTAAGCTTAAATAAGTAAGAAATATTTAAGCTAAGCATTAAATTGTTTAAATCATTGTTGATTGAGTAAGAGGAAAATAATAAACAGTAATAAGTTGTCCGCTAAAAGTTTAAAGAAAGTTGAGTTATTTGTGAATCAAATGGTTATGAGTTGGATTGAGAATAAATGTCATGTTCAAAAAAAAAAAAATTGATAGAGTTACCTTGTGAAGGTAAATATGAGAAAATGGATTGTCTAACCTTCCATGCTGCAATGAATTATTGTATAGATTGAGATGGATTCTCAAAAACTTGAAAATTTTCAAGTCCATAATGATAAGAAAAAGGGTAAATTTGTTTACTAGTGTGATTTTAGCATTAACTGTTAAGAAGTTATTGCTACAAAATTTTCGAGTTTTCTTATTGAACGTTGTGAACATTGAAGCTTTCATTGGAGATTGAAAATGTTTCAATTATTCAAAAATATTATTTTTAGATCTGGAAAAGTCATACAGATTTCCTTAAGAATGAAATAAGGAATTTCAAAGTAGAAATATTCAATTCTACTTGATATCGAGTGATATTATAGCGGAAGACCTATAGGTCACGGTCATGATACAAGTGTTAGACGGTCAAATAGTAAAGGTTCGATAGAGATTCAGGAGCTTATGTTTCTGATGAATCCGATGGGATTATCATTAACAAGTTTTAAGATCATTTTGATCATGAGTTGGTTGTTTCTGCATTAAGGTTGGGTTAATGGTCGCAAGAAGCGATTAATTTATAAAAATGCAGAGAAGTTCATAATTTTAATGATTGATGAAAAACTGAAATTATCACTAACGTGATATAAACAATGGTTGCGATTTAGATGATATAAAAAGGAAGAATAGCTTTTGTAGTTAAGGTGAGAGATACTTAAGTATCTGAAGTAAGATCAAATGATATTTCCATAACTTGGGAATTTCCATATGTCTTTTTAGATTTATTATTATGGGTTACCTCCAGATTGAGAGGTGGAATTCAATATTAATGATTATCAAGGCATTAATCATGTATCTATGGGTTCGTATCGAATGGTTGCAAATGAGATAAGAGAATAAAGAACCAATTGCAAGAATTGGAAGATTGAGGATGCATTAGACCGACTAGTTCACATTGGGGTAAGCCGGTATTGTTTAAAAAAATTAGATATGTGCGATTATGCATAAATTATCGATGGTTAAATAGAGTAACTATCAAGAACAAATATCCTATTTTGAGAATTTATGACTTGTTTGATCAACTTAAAAAGGAGCAACAATGTTCTCTAAAATTGATATTCGAATGAGATATCATCAATTAAAGATTAAAGTGGAAGATGTTCCAAGGATAGTTTTCAGAACACGGTATAGACACTACGAGTTCGTAGTAATGTCGTTTGGTTTGAAAAATGCTCAGGTAGCATTCATGGATTTTGATGAATCGAGTATTTCAACCTTACTTAGATCAGTTTGAGGTGGTTTGTATTGATGACATTCGAATATACTCGAATACAAAGATAGAGCATGATGTTCATATTCGTATTGTGCTCGAGAAAATTAAGGGTAAAAAATTATATGCCAAAATGTCAAAGTGTGAGTTTTGGCTATCAGAAGTTGCTTTTCTTAGTTATGTTGTCTCGATAGAAGGTATGAAAAAAAAATCAAGCAATATTTGAGTGAAAACCTCCAAAAATATGTTCAGAGGTTCGAAGTTTTTGGGACTTGTTGGTTATTATCAAAGGTTTATGAAAAAAAAACCTTTTCGATGGTTGCTTCTCCTTTGACCAAGCTCTTGCGAAAGAATGTTTCATTTACTTGGACTGAGAAATGTCAAGAAAATTTTGAAACTTTAAAGAAGTTTTTAACGGAAGCACCAGTGTTTGTATAACCGGAATCGGACAAAGAGTATGTGGTGTATAGTGATACATCTCATATTGGTTTGGGTTGTGTACTTTTTCAAAAAGGTAAGGTGGTAGCATATGTTTCTTTAACAATTAAAGATGCATGAGAGGAATTATCCTACTCATGATCTTGAGTTAGCATCGGTTGTTTTTGCTCTAAAGATTTGGCGTCATTGTTTGTATGGTGAGAGATGCCACATCTACATGGATCATAAGAGTTTGAAATATTTGTTGACTCAAAAAGAGCTCAATTTGAGACAACGAAGATGGATAGAACTTTTAAAGGACTTTGATTTGATCATTGATTATCATTCAGGTAAGGCAAATGTTGTAGCAAATGCACTTAGTCGGAAAACTTTTGTAGCTTTGTGAGACTATAGACTTTGAAGTCAAGTCTGATGAATGTCTATTTTATCGAGGAAGAGTGTATTCCTCATAATGATGAGTTGAAGAGAGATATTTGTTCTCAAGCACATTATTGTCCACTGACTATGCATACAAGTGGGAATAAAATGTATC